GGGGGCGGGGCTGGATCTGATGCAGGCGGCGTGCGGAGGGGCGGCGGCGGGCGGGCGAAAGGTCGCGGGCGGGCGGGCGACAAAGGAAAGGAACTGGCGGTTGGGCGTTCGCGGGTGGCGGCTGGTTTTGGACCAGATGCACCTCGTGATGTAAATTTGCACCGCGAGGTGTTGTATTTTACATCACGAGGAGGCCGCGGTCCAATTTTTTTTACATATAGACCGTCTGTTGAAATTGCGTTTTTGGCCTTAGACGGTCCAAAAGTTAGTTACTTTTACATTTGAACCGTCTATTGGAGATGCTCTAAAGAAGGACAAGGCGACTATGGGGAAACATGTCGTGTAATCGTGCCTTTGTAATTTTCGTTTCTTTGGTTTTTTTGAGGCAGCCACTAGTAAAGCATATTTATCCTACAAGATACTTTGCCTTATTTTTCATTTTTTATTTTTTTCTTTAAATTTTTCTTTTTCCGAATTTTTTAAAATTTCCAGTATTTTTTGGAGTATTTGAGCGAAATGTGCCACGCAGGCCAAGTGAGGCAAAGTATTTTTTGGAGGTATTTGATGGAAGATTTTAATGAGACAACCACTAATAAAGCCCCAGATCTATTCCACATGATGATACTTTGCTTCATTTATCATTTTTTGTATTTTTTGTCATTTTCCAATTTTATGTTTTTTTGGAGATACTTGAGGCGAACTTGCCTCGGTGGGCCATGCGGCCGAGTGTGATGGCCGTGCCTAATGTGTCACCGTGTTGACCCATGTAAAAATACCAGATTTTTGCTATAAAAAGGGCTGCCCACTTCTCTCATTTCTCACACTCAAATCTCATCTCATTTCCTACACGCAAACATGGATAGTCCCAACCTATTCCAACTTTATGCACGTGTTCATCGCAAAATCTTGAATTGCTGGGACTACTTCGCTGAAGAAATAGTTGTGGAGGGCTGTGTCAACGTGCCTAAAGCTAAGTGCAATATATGCGGGAACTTGTTGCCCACTATGGGAAAGGGCGCAGAGGAACCGACCACCTGCTTAGGCACAAATTGGCACACATAAAAAAGGACAAGGAGACTGTGGGGAAACATGTCGTGTAGTTGTGCCTTTGTAATTTTTCTTTTTCTTTTGTAATTTTCGTTTCCTTGGTTTTTTGAGGCAGCCACTAGTAAAGCATATTTATCCTACAAGATACTTTGCCTCATTTTTCATTTTTTATATTTTTCTCTTTTTCCGAAAATTTCAAATTTCCAGTATTTTTTGGAGGTATTTGGGCGAAATGTGCCACGCAGGCCAAGTGGGCCGGCCATGCCGGCGCGTGTAATATGGGGCCCGTGCATCGGCTAGGCAGGGGGGCCCGTGTGGCGTGCCTGGCCGTGCCGGGCCATCTAGGCAGGTTTGACCACAAGTAGACCTTCAGCCTCGCACCGCCAGTCCACTCCGCCAGGTTGGCGTCTCGCATTCCTGGCCCCACCTGGCGGCCTCAGCGGGCCCCACCTGCTAGCGATTACCTCTCGCGCAGCCACCCCGTCTCACAACGCGAGTAGAGAGGGAGGGGGCGAGCACGCCGCCCGCCGCCTGCGTCGTCCATCGCCGCCTTCGGAGAAGGAGGAGGCCGGACCTATGGCGGGCCGCGACGGATTCGAGGACGACGACTTCAACCTCCCTTTGTCGTCGCCACCGCGTCGTCCGTCGCTGCCGCCGGAGAAGGAGGAGGCCGGACCCGGACCCATGGCTGGCCGCGACGGATTCGAGGACGACGACGTCAACCGCCTGCAGTCGCCGCCACCGCGTCGTCCATCGCCGCCTTCGAAGAAGGAGGAGGCCGGACCCATGGCGGGCCAAGACGGATTCGAGGACGGCGACGTCAACCGCCCACATTCGTCGCCCCCGCGACGTCCATGGCCGCTGTCGGAGAAGGAGGAGGCCGGACCCATGGCGGGCCGCAACGACTTCGAGGACGACGACGTCAACCCCTTCGCCGTGAGTCCTCCATCCCTGCTTCACTCGTCGGCAACAGCCCTCGGGATACTTCCCCCGTATGCGTAGATCTCGGGATCCCTTTATTTTCTTAAACCGGTCTGGTTCGCGTGGGCTGTGCTCGTATTTGGGGCTGGCGTTGCTTGGATCTGAGGCTCCGAACGCGGGATGGGGATGCGATGGGGAGGTGCCGATTTGTGCGCTTCGAGTTGGGGATTACGCTTTGGTAGTTGTGTCCGCTAATTGCTCTGGAAATGGTTGGTTAGCTCTGGATTTGTGCTCGTGTGATGAACTAGGCTGCCCAGTGGATGATTAGTAGCTGTGCTAGGTGATTGGAAGCGCGATGCGTGAACTAAAATGTAGCTTGGTTGCTGGAACTTGAGATTTGCTGTCGTAGCAGGCCAACACAATATGGTGTGTATGGTACCGGTCTTATATGACTTGGTTTGCTTGTTAATTAGTTGATGAATACAAGTGCGAAGTTGTCGGAGCTTGGCTACTACTGTATGATATGTTTAACATCAGGGACTTGAATATTATGTATGGTGAATGTCCAACTTTTCTGGTAGTGTTTGTCATGTAGAGAGGATGAGCACTTGTTGCTGGTTCTGGAAATGCATTATGATGATGCTTTCCTTGGGCATTTTGGGACATCTTTAATTATAGATCCAATGCTTTGAGTTCAGTAATTCAAGTGGTTTCCATGCACCAATGTGCTACAAGGTAAATGTATGTTAGTACATGGTTAATGATACCAGTGCCATTGTATAGATAGCTCATGGATAAAAATCGTAAGTCCGAGATTTCTCAAATTCTAGGGCTCTAGGTGGAAATTTCCAAAAATTGAACTGTACATGTCGCAAGGTGTTTTGTACCACCCGGCAGTGGCAGCGCTAGAAGTCAGAACAAATGATGTCAAAGCTACATTCATGTGTGTATATATAGACAAACTACAGTGAAACACTAGCCTATTAGTTTAGCTAACCCAACTTGTGATGTCGCTTGTCATCGCATAGAACACGTAGGTTAATTTCTTGGTGATGTCATTGAGCTGATGTAATAAGACCACATTTGAGTGTAGTCAACTTAAACACGCCCCGTTGTGTTGATCGTATGCAAAACTTAAAGTGCCTATGCACATGCCCATGGAAGCATATATGCATTGGCAGGCAATGCTCAGTAACATACTAGCACGCCAAAATATT